TGCTATCTCCACGGCACATACCCTGTAGACAACCTCTCCTAGCAATGTCTCCCCCCCAGCGGTAGATACAAACAATAATGAATCAAGTCTATCAGGTGATACACAAATTTTGGAAGCAAGAACATGTGAAATAAAAGAATGTGATGCATCAGTATCAAACAAAACATGAGCAATGTGGCCAGAGATAGTATACATACCATGTACCACGTCCGGGTCTGCGTCGGCATCCTTCTGGGTAAGGTTGTAAACTCTGCCCTGGATTGGAGGCCTCCCTTGATTCTGGTTCCTAGGGCACTCCCTTGCATAGTGCTGGGCACTGCCGCATATGCGACAGGTGTTGTTGAGACAGTAGCAGGGTCGGTCCCCATGATCCCTGCCGCAGTACTGGCAGATCTTCCCACGTGCTGCCCCCGTAGCTTGAGGAGGGGCTTGGACGGCGGGTCTGGGCCTCTTACTGGGTTGGACAGGCATGGTAGGTGCTGGCCTGCGGAGCGGAGCTGAGGGTCGGGAACTTCCCGCTAGCTGAGGGCGGGTGTCGAAGCTCCTTTCTATGATCTGCACCTTTGCCAGGACTGCCAAATATGTCTCGAGCTCCATCACCAGTAAGTGCTGTCTGATCTCTGGGCGGAGACCCCACTGGAATTTCCTGGCCTTTCGGCCCTCATCCAACAATGTCTCCGGGGCATGTCGGCCCAGCTCCAGGAACTTACGGGCATACTCCGACACTGTCATATTTTCCTGGACCAATTGAGCAAATTCCATTTCCTTTAGATGTTGGATGTGTTTAGGGGGATACTCCGCATGGAAGGCCGCTAGGAACTGCTCCCAAGTAACTGGTGCAGGCAGGGTGGCCCGCTTGAGCTCCCACCAGCGTACTGCTTCCCCTACCAGCATGTAGGAGGCAATGGAAGCCCTCTGCTCAGGAACTACTCCCAAGGTCTCGAAAGCTCTCTCAGTCTCTGCCAGCCAGTATTGGGCCTCTTCGAAATAGGATCTCCCTGAAAAAGTAGAAGGGTTCAGTCTTCTGTACCTCTCTATAAAGCCGGGGTCGATCAAGGAAGGAGCGGGGTCCCGAGGTAGAGGGACTGGGGCCGGCAGAGGGTGAACTGGGGGACCCTCTGGTGGCGCCTGCTGATGTGGTGGGGGTACTGGAATGTGCTGTGGCTGCACCTGTTGGTACCGTGGCTGTGGTACCGGGGTGCCGGGTGGTATTGTGGAGGAACAAGCTCCTGCCGGGGTGGCTCGGGATCAGCCTGCTGTAGCGGGGGCTCAACCTGTGCTAGCGGAGGAGGTCCCGGTAACTCCCTTCTCTCCTCTTGCCTTCGCTGGGCAGCTACGAGAGCCTCCACCATCTCGAATAGTCTATCTAAATCCTCCCGCAGTGAATTATCTGGGGCCGCTCGGTTTAGTGGGGGCCTTCCTCTCCTCATTCCCGTATACCTGCATTCATAAGGAATTATTGAGTAACGATATATCGGTGAGCATTTCTCTAGGGCACTATTGTGTAAGGGATGGGTCCGAGGAAATGCAGCTCTGATACCAACTGTAACAGCCCCGGAAATTTAGAATGAAATGTATATTAAAAATATCAAATGCGGAAGCGAAGTCAAAATTTCGATTAACATCCCTTACACTAAAACCAAAAACGTGCTCACAAAATATAAAGGATTAAACTACCTGAAGGAGAAACTTGAAAGTAAAAGCTACGAATATGACTATGGAGTCTTTAGGCGTCCCTTTCGTCGTCCTCCTGCGGAACTGACTCGGGAACGATGTCTTCCTGATCTGAAATGATTAAATAAGGAATGAGCTACACTAGCCCAGTAAAGACATCACGATATCTCACCGTCACGGAGGTAAAAGTGGGTAGAAAATAAAAATGACCAATGGAGCATAATTTATAACAAACTCGTTTATTAACATAAAAACTTTTACTGTCCACTTACCTCGGTGAAATTCATAAAACAGTGTACGAAAGCAATAACATTATCATCATCATGAAATCATATATAAACTGTATAACACAATACTTATCAAGCTTTTTGAAATTCAATCGTTACACAACATATTTTCCTCATTTACCAGCCCACTAGTATCCATGGGGATCCATAGGGGTCCCGCTACCCGTTAACCCTTAACACTTGAAATCAGATTCCAGGGCCGTCCCCATACCCCGTCCGGTATGGGCGCCAAAACTATAAACCTCATTACCCCGTCCGGTATGAGGGTGAAACGGGCCGTCCCCATACCCCGTCCGGTATGAGCGCCAAAACACATAAGATCTCCATACCCCGTCCGGTATGGGAGACCACAATCCCGGTAGGGTTCCCTACGGACCTGGTCCGTCCACCATCTCCCAGGATATCTAGTCAGGCTGACCACGTTATACAATTACCCATTTATATAATCTTTCATTCTCTTTTTCCTCAGTCAGCATCATCAATCCACATACAAACAAGAAAAACGGTAATTTATGCCAAACAGACAACATACAGCATCAATATCCCGGTCATTCAATCCATAATCAATAAAACAGTAAAATATGCACACGAAACTATAAAATAAAAACATCAAACCTCATACTGCATTTAAAACTGTAAAACATGTCAAATAACAGTTAACCGACAACCACACTAGACTCGGGCTCCATTAGCGACCTTAAGAAATTTCACACATTTGTTGATTCATGAAATACCGTTTTATCATTTATTGAACTTTAATACCGTGATAGGAAATAGGGTGAGGGGTCCTTACTCGTTTCGGGGTCCGAACACGGCTTCACAGTGCGCCTACAGGCTGTCCCTAATTTTTCCTGAATTTTTTCCAGGGAACTGAAACGCACTACTGGCACCTGCACGTGTTCCAAAAAATTCCAAATTAGGCCCATGGCCCCTTTTTGGCCAATATCGCAATTCCGGCACGGCGATTCCGCCGTGCTCCAGCGACGGCGCCGCCGCTTGCGGCGGCGATTCGCCTCGGTTTGGCCGTTTTCGGCCACACTTGCATCGATCCTTGCGATTAAACAACTCTAGGGCCCTCGGGGGGCCAAAAAATTACAGAAAACCGAAGCTTACCGACGGCGGTGCTCTCGGGTGCGGCGGCTCTCCGGTGATGTTCGTGTTTTGGTGATTCGGCTCCGATCAACCTGTAAAGAAAAGAATGGTGATCACGGTGATATAAAAATTGCATTAAACGGAGGCCGGAAAGGGCCTCATCGGAGGCAAAAACCGAGGAGGGGCGCGGCTGCGCCGCTGGGTTTCAGCCGTGTTTTCCGACCATTTGGCCAGGATTTTGGCTCCGATTTGGCCACAGAGGAAATCAGCATGGAAAAACGAGTCGGGGGTAAGAAATTTACTTCGATCGTCGGTCGGAAATCTCTCCGGTGCGGCGGCGGGCGGCGGCGGCCGGCTTCTGGTTCGTCTTCTCCGGCGAGGGCAGGCGGCTAGGGTTTTGTGGTCTGGTGTGGGGGTCTTATTTATACCCTTTTGCCTTTTGATCTCAGCCGTCCATTTTGATTTAATTTGGGACGTCCGTTTTTTATTGAATCTGGGCCGTCCGTGCGATTGCATCTGGGCCGTCCGATCGCGCGCTTGATCTGAGCCGTCCGATCGCGCATACGCGGATCGCCAACGTGGCCCATCCCGTATCGACGTGGTCATGCCACGTGGCAGGTCCCGGTTGGCCGGGACTGCTGACTGGGTCTGCTGACGTGGCATCTCCCTTTTTTTTTTTTCTTCTTCAATTTCCCGAGCGCTACAGTAGATGTAATGGAACAGGTGTGAAAAGAGTAAAATCACCTAAACTCAACCTACGACCATCTTAGATATGTTCATTTCTACCAATGTGCATGTAAATCTAATTTTTGTGTACTCATGAGATTTGGTTGTATTGATAAGGGTAGCAAAAAAATTTAAATAGACGAATTTTTATAAAAGAATAAAAGTTATTTTACAAAAAAAAAAAGAATGTACAAAGTATTCAAATACAATCTTCTAATCAGACCAATAATTATAACGACACGTATTTGTCTAAAGAAAGTGAATTGAGTAAAGTTATTTATTCAAGTTCTATTTCGGATATAAATTCTTAAGTCCACGATGTGTTAAAGATTGATTGATGTTGCTTGTTTATTATGAGTTGAAGATGATGAGATTTCAAAATGTACATTATTTGAAAATAATATATAATGAGTAATTTAATATGTATGTATTATTTTTTCCCTTCATATATTGCTTTTGACATGGGTTAACTAACAGTATAAAATTACAACCAAATAAACTAGACTCCATCATCTTCCCCCGGGCATTACCAAACTTAAAACCAAATAAATTTTTATATGAATTTTATTGATTATATATATAACACATACATAATAATAATAATAATACACTTTTACGAAATATATGAGACACCCAGTTTATAATTTAAAGCTATAATTTTATAAAAAATGGATAAAAATATTTATCATTTTTGTAATAAATCTAATTATAATGCACAATATTCAAAAAACGATATAATATAATCTGACAGATGTATTCAATGTAAACATATGTGTGGACATGTGCATGTGCAGTGGGCTACAGAAGGGTTATTTCGGTGAGATCAAAACATTCCACAACATCTCTTCCTATTAAAGATGGAATCGAAATCAACGTGGTGTATATACATATATATATATATAAAGTGCAGTGGTAATAACGATTTGAAATTACCAAAATGCCCCTGTAAGAAAAAAGTTACGGTTGATGTCGTGGGGTTTGCATGCTTTTTAGGAATGAAACCAAGCCATGTGACCATCTAACAGCTTTTGTCTTCACCATCCCATCACGCTATCAGACAAACCCAGATACGGATCATCTGGATTTGCATATACGCATATACATCGGGAGGGGCTTATTTGTAACTAAAACTCAAATTAATGGCAATTCTTGGTATTTTCCATAAGCCCCGGGGCTTTATTGCAAATACTCGTGTATATATAACCCCATCCCCTTCCTCTCGTTCCTCCTGCATTATAACGCTTCGTATTTCTCTCTTCTTTGACAGAAGAAAAAACTAAAAATGCGAGGGGTCACCTTCTCGTTCGTACTGCTGCTACTTTCCGCCACCGCCTTATCCTTTCGAGACGGTATTATCGATAATACTTACTTTACTTTCTTTCTTCTTCCGATAATACTCAGCTGCAGATCGAATTTCTATTATCTGTTTTCTCTTTGGCTATACATATATATATATATATACATAGAGAGAGAGAGAGAGAGAAGTGAATTACATCTATGTATATATGCTCTCTTCTTTGTTCGATAGCAACTACAGAAGTGATAAATATATACTTACATTTACATATTCAGCTTTTGAGATCTTATTATTCTTTTTAGTTATTTTTTGGAGGTTTTTGTCGATTTCAAGCGACGAAAACAGTGTTTCTCGGTCTGATTATTGAATTAAATGTGTAGGTTTATCTTTTGTCAATTTTCTGCGAAGTTAATTTAATCTCCTTGCAGATAAATTTAATATCCAGCAGGATCTCTGATGAAGATAGTTATCAATCTTTTTCTGATGACAGTTACTTGTTTTTAATTTTGAATTTTGAAATTTCTGTCTTAAATGTCAAAGTCAAAAATTCCCTAGTAGCAATTTGAATAAATGTTTATGTACGTATAGAATTAGTTAAATTGGGTTTCCAGCCCATCATCCGACAAGGAAGTAATGGCGTAGATGGGTATGTCGACGGCCCAGTGCCTGGCTGGTTTTGCAGATAAAGCCACATGATAAGATTTCAGTCTTCCGTCTCTAAATAAACTTACCATTATATTTCCCGGGTCGGGTGAATTTGACATGATAAGATGTTTGTTTGATTACCTGAATGTTGATTATTCCATGAAAGTAGATTGATCTCTGTTAATGGTAACTAAATTGATTATAGGACTGTTGCCGAATGGGGATTTCGAGTTGGGTCCAAAACAATCAGATATGAACGGAACACAGGTGATTGGGAAATTTGCGGTGCCGATGTGGGAGATATCTGGGTTTGTGGAGTACATAAAATCAGGGCAAAAGCAGGGAGACATGTTGCTGGTGGTGCCAAAAGGAGCATTTGCAGTGAGATTAGGGAACGAGGCTTCAATCAAGCAAACTGTTAAGCTCATAAAGGGCATGTTTTATGCTGTTACTTTCTGTGCAGCTCGCACTTGCGCCCAAGAAGAGCGGCTTAATATATCAGTCCACCCTGAATGGAGTATGCTCCCTATACAAACAGTGTATAGCAGTAATGGATGGGATTGCTATGCTTGGGGATTTGAAGCTATGTCTCAGTATGCCGATCTACTTATTCACAACCCTGGAGTTGAAGAGGATCCTGCTTGTGGTCCGCTTATTGACTCAGTCGCCATGAGAGCTTTACCTCGTCCCAGACGCACCAACAGTATATTATCTTCTTTTCTCTTCTTATTAACAATTTCATTAGTTTACATGCTACCCAGATCCAAAAAGGAAAGAAGGTTCACTATTGTGACACTTTTTGCAGAGAATATATTGATAAACGGCGGATTCGAAAGAGGCCCTCTGGTTCTCCGTAACACCTCATCCGGCGTTCTAATCCCGCCGATGATCGAAGACAGACACTCCCCTTTACCGGGCTGGATAGTGGAATCTTTAAAAGCCGTTAAATACATAGACTCCGATCACTTCTCCGTCCCACAAAAGAAACGAGCGGTGGAACTCGTCGCGGGAAAAGAAAGCGCCATTGCCCAGGTGGCTAGAACCGTGGAGGGTATGAGCTATGTTCTTTCCTTCTTGGTAGGTGATGCCAGCAACTCCTGCGAAGGTTCCATGGTTGTCGAAGCATTTGCAGGGAGAGAAACCATCAAGGTTCCTTATCAATCGAAAGGGAAAGGTGGATTCAAGCGCGCAGCTCTTAGATTCAAGGCGGTTGCCAATCACACCCGCATCATGTTCCTCAGCACGTTTTACTCCATGAGAACTGACGATTTCTCTTCTCTATGCGGGCCGGTTGTCGATGATGTCAAGCTGTTGAGCGTGCGCAGCCCATGAGCTATGCTGATTCAAGGCCTTGGATAATTTATATATCCGTGTTTCATATATTTCTTTTTCTTTTTTCTTCAAATACTAAGATTAATGTTTTCTTTTTCCTTTTTTTTTTTTTTTTTTTTTTTTTTTTCTTGAGGGTACTGCAAGGAATTATCAGAGTCGTCTGTGTGAGTTTAATCAAGTAGTGAATCTTAAAAATATGGATCACATATATATATATATATATAATACAGATATGAGAATAGCATATATATATATATAATTATAGTAGTGCTGATTTTACTGAGTGAAAGATGTAATTTAGCAAAATAAATTAAAGAAGAAAATAGCGGTTCTTTTTCTTTCTTGTGTTTCTTTGATGATTTTGCTGCTTCCTCTCTACTTTTTTCTTTTCAAATATCAATTATTATATGTACTCGTAATATAATAAATATTATTTTAAATAATTATTTAAGATTGGTTTCAAAGGCATTTATATACGTACATAATTTACTTAAAGGATAAAGGAAAATCAAACTAAAATATTCTAAATTTTAAAAAATATATTAAATGTCAAATTGAATTTAGTTCATCCTTAATCAACCCTTTCATTTCATACTAATTTAATATTTTAATTCATAAAAATTGTTAAAGCAATTAAATTATTCTATAAATGTAATTAATACATATTAATCTTTATTTTAATCATTTTTAACAAATAAATTAATCATATTTATTATATTTTTAAAACATCCCATCATATAAGTAGGAAAACAGAAACGAGGTACAGTTCCTGTTTTAATAATTATTTAAAAATATTGTCGTGTAGCTCAAAAGTGTTTATTTAAAAATCATAATTTAAAATCCATAATCATGACATATCGGATAATATACAATTAAAAAAGGGTTAATTATCGGATTATGTTCGCTAATTAATAATTTTTGTCCTTTCCTTCAACATCATAACTTCAAACTTCTTTAAAATAATACTTATTTAATAATATTTAAATTCTAATTAATTATAAAAAAAAATTAGACAATCTGATGTAGAATTTTATTTTCTATTTCATTTCTTTTTTTCCTTTTTATTTCATTTTTTAAATCTAATAATTCGAAAATCTATCTCCCTTCTGAAAGAACGCCCACACGTGAACTTATTTTCCCAGCTCGGCGCACTCATATCAACGGCCCAGATTGCTGCGTTACCTTAAAGCTATCAGACGACCCTCGAAAAGTCTCTCCATACATTCTCAGCCGTTAAATACAAACTCATCGATTTTTGACGCTTCTGATTTATTTACTTCCTGTACCGCGTTGCACATGATTTCCTCTCCACCACAATTAGGGTCTCCTTAAACCCCCCTTTATATAAACCCTCGTCTGGCTTCTTCTTCCCTCTCTCTCTCCCTCCCTCCCTCCCTCCCTTCCCATTGCTCGTTGTCCATACCTTCAAAAGATCAAATTTCAAATTGTGAACAAATGGTAAATTGTTTCCTCCCCTCTATTCTTTATCTTTCATGTTTTCTCCATTATTTTTTTTAAAATATTTGTTTTATCGAGTAGATCTTTGCTTCATCTTATCATTTCTTGGTGTAAATGGGGCTCTAGGTTTTCAAGTTTTCTGTCCTCACCGTTTTGTGATTTTCTCTTCCAGGCGTTGCCTAACCAACAGACAGTTGATTACCCAAGTTTCAAGCTCGTAATCGTTGGCGATGGTGGCACAGGTAATTTTTTGTTATGTATTTTTCCCACTCTAGTTTCTGTTTGGTTGCCCTAGAACTTTTTATTTAAGAATGTTTTTACTTCTTTCTTGCTTTAAATATTTTATTTTGTACCATCAGTGGGCCTTAAGACAAGGAATTACCACACCGGAGCATTTCTTTGGCGGAGGATTGGCATTTTCGTTTATTGCTATCTTATCCGATTGGTGTAGTTGTTTTAGCTTCACATTTAGGCTACGTGTAGAACAGAAGGACAATTAGATCCTTTCATTTCCATCATTAGGTGATTCTTTTATGTGACGAATAAATCATGAATTTTGTAAGATATTTTATGATCTATAGGTTTTTAGTAGTTGCATTTCTAGCCTACACGTATTTTGCTAGATGTATTCCAAGCTATGCATTCATGTTTCAGTCTATTTCACTCTTTTAAATCTTCATATTCATTTTCAAATGTCATTATTTTTTAACGTAATTTGAAATTTATCCCTTATCATTCCACTCAGACTTCATTTGAAGATGAGAATTGATGTTTAGAGCAGCTCTAAGCAGAGAAGTTAACGTTTACAAATAAGTTCCACAACTTTTTGCAAGTATGTTTATTCCCAATGGACCGAAAGCTCCATTCAATTGAGTACAGGTTATAGGATGCAAAAGGAAGGACTGTTTATTTTGTAGTAAATTTGGTGTTTAACTCTATTCTATAGGGTTCAGAAGTTTAGTAAAATGGTTGCTTTGTGGCCAAAACAATCTTCAAATGCTTATGCTGACAAATATTCCAAGATGAAAGATTTTCTGAATTGGAGCTGGATAAAGATCCTGCCTACTGATTTTTGAGTAATTGTTCTTGCTTAAAATGTTTTATATGATTGTTTAATTTTCCTTCTGATGTAGAATTATTTGTGCAATGCAGGAAAAACTACCTTTGTGAAAAGGCATCTGACAGGCGAGTTTGAGAAAAAATATGAACGTAAGTCTGATTTGCTTCCTCTGTGTTTTGTGATTATCATTTTGGCTTTGTCAAATTTACTTGAAATTGTTGAAATAAACAAGAAGCACGGTAGGGTTTTCAATATTAAAGTAGAAGAAGTTAAAATAATAAGTATTTAATAAAATTTTGTTTGGAAGTAATTATAATAACGGGAAGAGGGGGAGATTTGAAGTCCACTATTGTTTGGTTACAAAAGTGAGATATACTAAGGGTTTTACCAATGTGACAAACTCCTTGTTTATTAAAGGATGGTTGTTATGATAAATGAGGTGGTGGTATTTAAGAAATTTAATTAAAAAAATACTAATTGAACTTTTTCAACCCCACTTATCTCTCGATTGGGTGGTCAAATAGGGGTTTAGAGGAGTTAGGAGGGATACTGATAACCCTTCTACTCTGATTCACTCTTATTTTGTCTCTCTTAAAAAATTTCCAAAGAATGCTCTCTGACTCTTCTTAACACAAAAAAAAAAAAAACCCACCAAACAGGCTGGAAAGGGCTTTGGTGTTCCTACTATATAAAATTACTTTCTGGAATTCATCACTCTTTTATCATGTGCAGCAACAATTGGTGTGGAGGTTCATCCCTTGGACTTCTTCACAAACTGTGGCAAAATTCGCTTCTACTGCTGGGACACTGCTGGGCAAGAGAAATTTGGTGGTCTTAGAGATGGATATTAGTAAGTAATCACATTGTCTCTGTGATAGCAGATCTCCAGAGGTCATTGAAATACAAGGCTAAATTTGCTTCAAGAAGCTGTCTTATTTTATATGCTACTTGGTTCTTGAATTATTATATTTTAACATGTCTGTGCAAATGTATGTCATCTACAGTAGTAGGAGAACACTAAATTTGTTTGGAAACATACTTTTGTGTTGTTGGTATTCCTGAATGTAGATTTGGGAATTTATGCCCAACTGGAAAAAAATCTCTTTCTTGTCTGAGCTTGCTGTGTTTGCCAAATGGAGAAACACTTGAAAATGAAAGATGGAATTTTTTTGTAATCCTTTTGTTCTCTGCTGCAGTATTCATGGGCAATGTGCTATTATCATGTTTGATGTTACTGCACGCTTGACATATAAGAATGTTCCAACATGGCACCGAGATCTTTGCCGGTATGAATAGAAACCAAATCTCTGTTTCTCTGCAATGTGAAATTGATGATTTTTACGGCTGTGGATGACTAACCGATTCTTCCACCTTGTGTTTTCAAGTGTTTGTGAAAACATTCCAATCGTGCTTTGCGGGAACAAGGTCGATGTTAAGAACAGACAGGTCAAGGCAAAACAAGTTACTTTCCACAGGAAGAAAAATTTGCAATACTATGAGATATCTGCAAAAAGCAATTACAACTTTGAGAAGCCTTTTCTTTACCTTGCTAGGAAACTTGCTGGGTAAGGACAGTTGGCTAGTGATATGGAGGCTCATGTTCTGTTGATAGTTAGCTGAAGTCTCAAGTATGATTCTAACTGATTATTGGTTTTTTGATAGGGATCCTAATTTACATTTTGTGGAATCTCCTGCTCTGGCTCCTCCAGAGGTGCAAATTGACCTAGCGGCACAACAACAGTAAGGATTCCTTTATAGATCTATAATACATAAACGATGAAGTGATTGTCAAGGAAAATGCTTTATTTCAAAAAAAAAATTGTCAACAAAAATTCTATGGTCTTCTGGAAGAAATGTTGAGAATGGCAGATACTAATCTCACATGCTAACAGTTTTGAACAGGACGTGTTTTCTTGCTAATAATCATTTCTGACATTATGTATGCTTGATAATTTTTGCAGACATGAGGCGGAGCTTGCTGCAGCTGCCAGTCAACCTCTTCCAGATGATGATGATGAGGCATTTGACTAGATGATGAAGGGCTTCATGGATGTCGAGCATGGGGCTTTTGAGTATATTGTGTTGAGGGGTTACTCTCTAGTTGGACATTGAACAATCTGGATTGTAGAATCACTATTCTGTCTATGTTGAGTTTGTTGCATGAGGATGTGTTAGTCTATTTGTTCATTTTGGCTCATACCTACAGGCGGTGGTTATGAGGAATTGGCCGTTTTAATTTTTCTGTTGGATGTTTTGGGTACCCGTGATCATTGGTTTTGTATGATTAAAACAATTAATTTGACTGCAAAATTTTCTAGATTACAGAAGTAGTGTTGTCCTTTTGGAGATGAGCCAACAGATTTCTATATTACATAAATTTTTATAGATGGATAAAGTGTTTTTATCTAAATTATGTGTTTAAGGGTGATTAGTACTGTTGCAGCCGAAGGCTCTTAGCAGCGTACTTAAAAGCTGCCATAAGGAATGAAAGACTTAATTGTTTAGTGAGTTGTGGTTTTGATGCCTCATACTAAACCACTTTGGGGGTTAAAGTTGGGCGTTACTAACAAACGTATCTCACATTTGTTGTTTATGTGTAAATATGGAAATTTTATAAAATAAAAATAAAAATAAAAATTTAATATGAATGAGTTAAAGTTTTAATTTTATATCCAATATAAATAAGATAAAATTGTAATTAATTTGAAAATACAAATTATATTATAAAACTTGAAATTGAGTGAAGTTGATTGAATCTGATGAAGGTTTTACCTCAAAAAATATGGTTATAATGGACCTAAACAAGCGCCCTTCCCTGAAATTAAATAACAGTATGTATGGGGACAACTCACGAACTGTTAAAATATGGTAGTGAAAGACTCTTAAAGCAACTGAGGCTGCTTAGAGGAATAGTTTTGCTTTGTCTTTAGCTGGGTTCCTTCCATTATAATCACAAACTTCCATAGAATAGACCCAAGAGCTACAAAACAATTCGCATATCAACTGCCAAAAAATATTCCATCAGAAAAAATTCCACGGAAAAGGAATAAAATTTCCTAGAAATGTTCCACAGAAGCAGAATAATTGTGTCTTGGATCTCGATTTGTTCAACCAAAATCCATACATATATCTATCTATCTGTTGATAATTTACATGCAATTACGTGATACCTAAAGACCTAGATAGCAGCATATTTGCCCTGGTCGATTATATGAAGATAGATGCCAAGCAATCTGCTTCTTACATGGGAGGATGATTCATATTACGATCACATTTTGCTTGCACCACTTTAAACTTCACCACCACGATAAAGAATCTCAAGATTGTCACACTCTGGCCTTCATTATCCCTACTGGTTGTTCCCATACATGAAAATACCTTGCTCTATTAAATTAGCCAGGAGTGAGAAAACTTGCTTACCTACCTTTTCTTCTATATTCTTTGCTTCATGAGGTGCACAGGCAAGAATCAGAACGCACCAAGCTATCCTCACTGCCTTACTTTACCAGTAAATCTGAATTCATGTCATCTTCATTCCGCTCTTCAAGTTAATCTGAACAAGTACATCACCAGCCAGAATGAGCGTTCCAGTCAAACACTACAAATCCATCACTTATTATCCATTTCTATACAACTTTCACCTTTCACCAATCAGCCTAAAAATTAGTCTCTTGGATCAATTCTAGTTTGAGATCAGTTCAGTCTTGGACTTAGATGGATGCATACTGGTGACTAATTTGACAATAGCAAGAGAACAATTTAGCACACCTGCACAAGTTAAGCCATAAAACTTGTAGTGGATTTCTAAAAGCTACAGGTGTATCCCGTACATGAAAATATATTTAGATTTTATTTCCTAAAATTCATATATGTTTTCATGTGTTTATTATGAGTAAACACCTCTATGATTACTTGTTCGTGAATAAATGGAAGTATAACTAAAAAGAAAAAGCAGTTTTCTAAAAGTCATTGAGAACAACTAATTCTGTCAAACCTATCCTCATTTTAACTCTCTTTCCTAAATGTAATTTTATTTTTAACTACCTTACGTGGTTTGTATGTATGAAGTATAAACATAAATGAATTTAGAAAATGAAAAGTAGAAAATATTTTTTGTACCAAACACACCCTAAAGTTTTTACCCTCAACAGACAATCAAAATAATGTGGCATCATACGAAGCAAGCAGCAACGGTCATGTACCAACTGCCCTAATCTTCTGAACAACTGGCAGTCCACTTTTTGGATATTCATCATCATGATGTTCTTATCCATCTATTCAAATATCAATATTATGAGTGTAAAATCCAACCATCTTCCCGGGGCTGTTTGGGGATCCAGATGTGGCTCTGCAAAGATGAATTGTCAAGTCATTAAGAAATGAACAAGCTGATAATTTTCAACACAAAGTACTACATAAGCTGCAAACTAGCCTAGTCAACCTTCAAGAATCCAACAGTCATGAGTAATAGTTGACTGTTAATGTTTATTCAACTGGCCAAGAGAATGTAACTCACATCTCTTTAATGGAGCTTGATGACTTGAGTTGGGAAAAAGCTGACACTTAGAAATTATGGGAAGAAATACTGTCATTTAGTACGTAGAAACTTTATGACTTAAGAGAAACAAAACTAATTATCACAGAAATTACCTGATGAAAACAAGTATAGTTAGTGAACAAAGACATCTCCTCATGAAGAATTGAAGAAGCCATTGTTTGTACATATCCTGTAAATGTGTCTTTCGAGCATTCACCCACTCTTATTCTCAAAAGCAGTTGCTTACAGGTCTATTCCTTCCATTTTCAATAATGAAAGCAGGAAATAAAATCAAAAAATTTCTAGCTTGATCTTGAGTTGTAAAGGACTGGGAAGGAACAACAATCTTAAAGGTTCTAACCTATCATGGCAAAAGAACTTCGTGCCAGAACATGCTCCTCAGGTATCCATGAAGGAATATTATTAGAAGTAGAAAATACCAGTATGCAATTCAAGAAATGCAACTAGTAAATAGAAGTGCTTTCTTTTTTTACTTTTGTAAGAAGAGATTGCTAAGAAAGTCATCAAGTAAAATTAATTACAATAGCACGCTCCTGTCCTGCAATTTGGAGGAAATGATATAAATCAAACCAAATCAATACCAAGAAAGAAACATTTACGGTCAGAGGAGTTTGTGAACTACTAGAAAGAAAGAAACATAAATCACCAAACAAGAGCGGTAGTGTTCTGCGTTATATGGACCAGAACTAGACATGACCTTCCATGTCAGAATTTCATGGTAGCATTTCCACAGTATTGCATTTACTTCAGAAGAAAACCTTGATGGTCCCACCACACCTTGAACAAACTACCGAATCAAAGTAGAGTAAAAGAAGATAAAAATAGTGGCTGGCCATAATTGTCCTATTTGTAAAGAACTGGATGCAGTACTGCACCATTTACTATGTCAAGGGGACAGCCGTAAACCCCAGCATCATTGCTAGACCTTTTGGAAGCAAGGTATGTATGCCTCCAACACTGGCCCTGGAAAATGCAGGCTATCATCAATAAATTCAGAGTGGAACTTTCTATATTATTAAGTGTTATCAAGAAACCCAGCTACAGTAAAAAATTGGATATAACAGGATAGCACACTGCAATAGACTACAAATGTAAGGAAGAAATGAAATCAAACTTCCATAACTGAGACAATAAGATAGATCTCAACATCCAGGCTTCTCACTCCACACAACCACAAGATACAAAATAACTTCCAAATTCCTCCTAAAGAAATGTCATATTAATCATGATTCAGTTTAATTAAAATTGACAAATGACCTGCCAATTTCACCTGTGATATACATTTACACACATTACATAAACATTAGAGACATTCACAGACACAAAACCAGAGATAGATATTAAACTTATCCCT